ACATGGAGGAGATCGTGTGTGTGAAGGGGAGTTGAAACAGTATGGACTAACATGGATGGAGGTGAAAAGTACAGCAGAAGGAAGACAGAAGCAAATGGAGACGTGCAGTTGAAGCCCTGTGTTCCACTAGGAACCCAAGGGAACAATAATAATTCAAAGTCCTAGTGATACATACGATGATGTAAATTATTTTGCAACTCAGATTGTCAATGTTCCGGAAGTCTTATTTCTATCTAGCCGACATTGTTTTTATACACTTTACGAAGTTCAGAGTGAGTTCTAATCACAAGCAGAATTCCTGAATATACATACAGGTATGCATGTGCACTGAAAACATTCCTTTGAATCACGTTAAACAGTGTGAAAAGGAATGATTACCGTAAATATATATATATACTAATTGTAGAATAAATTCCGAGAGAAATGAACAAAATAAGAAAACAGTGACTACAATTGCCTGTCTTCTCTCTCTCATGTGTTAGAATGTTGTGAACTTTCTCTAGTAGTAACTCTGTATATGTAGACAGTTGTTGTTGCTGTTCATAGCGTAAATTGTAAAAAAAAAACAAAATTGCTTCCAAACGATTCAGATGTCATAACTGTTTGCCTTCAGCTGTGACTGCTGAACATTCCTTATTAGTTAGTTCAAAATGAAAATTGTTTACACTATAATACTGATTGATGCAAAGTAGAAATTTTTGTCCAAATTTTTCATAAAATCTCAGTTTATATTAGAGCAGCTTGATTAGTTAGTTACAAGCAATCAGGCAAATTTTTCATACAACTCTGATATTACTGCAGGTTAATATCTTCACTTTTGAGTAAAAAAAAAGTACAGAATTAACTTTCATTTCACACAAGACAGTTCACAATATGATCACCAGACTGAACGTCGTAATGGTTGACACGAATCCAGTTTTCATTCCCATGGCGTACAAAGAGAAAGAAGTATTGACAAGAATCGAAAAAAACGGAATCAAGGGCATGTTGAGAAAGGCACTTTCCACGGCTAAACTACTGACTCTCCTCCTTCTTTATGGCACAAAATGTTCACTAATACAGTTCAAAGTAAATAAGTGTCCTGCTCATGTCAACTCCAAATGTATGTACTGATTCGTGTGAGCTTGCAATGGCAAGTACATAGGGCAGAACTGAGAGGAGATAAACTACCCGATTTTATGAGCATGTCCCAAACAGCCTTCATATGAAAAATAAAAAAGTGTTTGCAAATGCAATCACTAAGCATCTGAATAAAACAGGATATATATATATATAGTGAAAACAAGTCGAGTCTTCAGGATAATCAATATATACACAGAGAAAGAAGCCTGACTAATTCGCTTTGCATAAGCCGTTACTATCAACCGATTCCAATCTAATCTTTGTATACACAAAGATAGTGTGATTAGTATCGCACTAACCTCGTAACCAGATGTCCCTATGCTGTTTCTACTTTTACTTAGGACTTCTTGTCACTGCCATCCTACTCCTTCTCTTCTCGAACGTTTCATCACAACCCATTTATAAGTAATCTCTAGTTGTCAAATTGTTAACTGTCTTGTATTCATATCTGCTATTGCTTTAGTACACTCCTTGAGTCGATGCAGTTTTTATAGTACGTTGAATATTTTTTGCATTTATAACAGCTTGTGTCATTTTTAGGCTGTCATTGGCTGATGAAAAACAGTGAAATAAAAAGAAACATGACCTCTTTTCATCTCTCTTTGTTCAAACCAATCAAGGGATATTAATATATATATATATATATATATATATATATATATATATATATAAATTCCTTCACGTTCCCAGCGGGCTTTAAGCTAGAGCTTTGAAGTCTGGGTAACAGCGGTACTTATTTTTAAGGGATGGAGTTGCCAGCCTCATGTTCAGCCTTTCCTCTTTGCCAGCTTTATTTCTGGCTTGGTGAGGTGAAGGAGTGCTTCGGTAGCCGAGGATCAAACCCCGCACGATGTGTATGGTCGGAGAGTGTCCTAACTGGTGTGCCACCGATGCATTTAATTCAAATTTCGACCGCCATAAAAAGTTGTCAGCTGAACGAATACTTGAAAAATTGGAGTCACTGAAAAGGATGCCTGTTTAACTGGATAGATTTAGGAATGGTCGGTAGTCAAATACGTAATAAATGATTGTGTACATATCTATCTTTTTTGTTAAAGTCATGAGAAACCACTGTGTAGTGAGTCTGTAGTCATGAGGTGAAATCGATGCCGGCTTCTTCTTTTACATCAAAATTTACCTTGCATCAAACTATGCAGCTATTTGTGCTTATATCAGTACTTCATAGGCATCCTATGGCTTTTTTGTGTTCATTTTGGACTACATGTGACTTCATATCACTAAAATACCTATAAATCTTGTATTGACTCAATTCTGACCAGTTCATTTTTCGTGTTAGTACTAACAACGAGCTGAGAAACATTCTTCGAAATATTTTAGAGTCAATTACTATAACATCCATGCGTCGGTGGCACAGCGGTAGAATGCTAGCCAACCATGCTTGATGTGGTCCGCGGTTCGATCATCGGCCGCCGACTCACTCCTCTACCTCGCTAAGTCAGTAATAAGACTGGTAAAGAGGGAAGGTTGATCAAGGGACTAGCAACACCATCCCGTTAAAATGACCACCACTGCTAACAAAACTTCAAGCCTCGAGCTTGAAGCCCTATTTTCCACGGGGAACGTAAAGGATTAAAAAAGGGATTACATCCTGAACACTGGTTACTAAGGTGAACGAGTAACTGAAGTTCATAAAACAGTACTAAAACACTTACTTTCTTGCCACATTTAATAGTTACTATTATTAATATATTGGTTGGAGGATTTCATCATGAGCTGAGATCAGTTAGGGAACCATCGGAAAACCAGCTGGGAGTACTGAAAAGCTATTTAATCCTAGTTTTGGGCTCTTTATCAGTACGCATGGATCATTGGATCGGGTACCAGCAGCTTAATGGTCAACGAGCTAGCTCGCCTTGCAACCAGACAGGCCTGAGTTCCAAACCTGTTGATGAATGCGTACTTCCGAAGAGTCACAAACTAGGACAACTGAACCAGCTGTCCAGTACTCCAGAGGTGGTTTCCATTTTTTTTCTAACTGATGTCAGCTCATAATAAAATTCTCCAGCCAATCAAACAAAATCCCTACAAAACCAATCCTTTAATATTAATATATTCATGATTCTGAAAGCCAGTCACTAATTATTTAATGTAGTGTGATGCTTTTCTCCTTCCTTTATGTGAAACATAGGGCTTCATCTTTCAGGGTTTATGAGTAGGTCGACAGGGAATGGAACACAGACAACGTGCATCGCCGGTGAGCACTGAACTCCCCTGACGCTTAATATGAGTCAGATTAATGAGCTACACTTAAAATAAAAAAAACTAACATTCGCTAACATGTTCAATACTCTGTATTCTAACTTAAAATTTCTTTTCTAAAGGTATCTTCTCTTCCAGTCGATAAACTGGGTTTATTAAAAAAATTTGACTTTTTCTCTAATTCACCTTACTTCTTTACTATATAAGTAGTGTTCATGAATCAGAATATTATACCTGAATGCTTTCGTTTACATCTGGCTTCAGTGACATTTTTCGAATAGCCTAGAGGTAAAGCTTAAGACATAATACTATTGATGACAACTGCGTTTTTATGTTTGTCATTTATGAATGCGAATTTCATTCACACGTGTGCATTTATGACCAGGCGAAGACCGTACTGATGGAGGATTGCCAAACAAGAGATTTATAAAACCACTCTAATGATTTATATACACAATGAAAGATGAAATCGAACAATTTAGCTACTCTGCATTCACCTTATCACCAGTAGTCCAGTAAACACTACTTATTGTTGAATATATGAAAGCAACTGGTAGGTAGAAGTGAAATAATTTACCATATTTCTTGGATCGTTTGTCAACATTGTGAATTTCACTGTTTTGATCAGACACTGACTAGTGTCATGCATACAGGCCTTGGTTTCGTGCAGACTGAATTCTATCAGTCTATCAATCTGCAGTGTGGCCACCATTCTACATGGCTTTGCCATCACGGTGAACTGTGAATTGTGGGTATTAGATGGTTGAAGGCAATCGCCAAGATATCCTGCTCCTAGTTCCCGTGTTTTGTGACAGTCATCGGTCAGTAAGGTGTGTCGTCAGTCTTGAAGGAACTCATGTCCCTCCCCTCTAAGATTCGAAGCGGCGTAACCCAGCGCTACAATCGAAGAGATGTTACCACTGAGCTATTCAGGGTCGCAAATGACCTCCTATAGAGGACTGACTGTATTGGATACTTTTGATTGGACACTAGTCAGTAACTAGTGTATGATGTCTTGTCCTATCTTTGGTGTAGACTGAATCCTCTCAGTCTATCAGTTTGCAGTGTGGCTGTGTATCATCGCGCACTAAGAATTGTTGTTGTTGCTGTTGCTGTTGGAGGAGGAGGCAATCGGCAGGAAGCCCAGTCTTGCCTAGGTTCTGTGCTTGTTGGCACTCATCACTCCCTTAAAGAAATACGCAGACTATCTCATTTACCATGTGGCAACTAAAGAAGCTGCAATTAAATAAACCTTTAAGGTTACAACTGATCGGTATCCTGTAGTCCATTGGTTGCTTTTATCGTTAAATTTCACTGAGCAATAGCGATAATACCCTGTGCGCAGTTACTGACACTGTGACGTTTAAACACTTAACAATATACTCTGACAAATCGTTTTATTTTATGATTTTTTCCGTTCATATTCCAGGACTAACAGTCTGATAGTTAGCTGTTAGCGATTTATGCAATGTAGGGATATTGGGAACAATCTCTAGTTATATGATTACCAGTATTTCGCCTTATAGTAAGGATGAAAGGAGTTATGTTATCTTCATATCTCCTAAAGAGACAGGTTTAATTTTCTTTTTTTAAATATATTAATATGTTAACATGTGAAGATTATTTTGTCTTAAAATGTAATAATTATTTTATTTCAGATAAGGCACATTTTTTTCTCTCTATCGAACACCTGTAGTAAATGTTATTCAACAGATTGGTGATGCGATTCACGCTCAGTTGGTTAATTTCGGTGAATCCTATTCTTATTCCAAATTCATGCATAGTACACAATGACCAAAAATTATCGATTGGAAAATATATTGGCTAAATGAAAGTGAGGTCTATGGAAAGGAAAAGACAACGACGTTGAAAGATTTTTCCATGACGTAATTCAAAAATATCAGTAAAAATGTATGCACTGAAAGTAAACGACGTGTAGTATTAGGCTATTCAAATACATTGGAATAAATGTGTTCACATACTTATTTATTTTTATTTATTATTATTATATCCTTTAATTCCTAGAGGAACATAGGGCTTCAGCTGCGCACCTCCATTGCCTTCTGTTTTCTGCGAACTTTTTCACCCCGCTCCAAATCTGCCCACATGCTTTCATCTCGCCCTCACATGACCTCCTCCAAGTCACCCTCGAACTGACGACCAACTCGCCGCTTCCCTTTCGGGTTCCACTCGAGGGCTTGTCTAGTGATGTCACTTGATGGTTTCCTCAGAGTATGGCCACAATCCAATCCATCTCCATTTCTTCCTGCCTATTTGTTTCACAATCGGTTCCTGGTTGGTTAGCTCATCGGCAGGGATTCCTGTTGCTGATCTTTTCTAGCCATCTGATCTTGAGTGGTACTGAGCGAAGACAACTGTTAATGAAGGTCTGAAGTTTGTTTGAGATGCTCTTTATGACGCGCAGTGCAAGTCTCTAATCCTTATAGTAGCGCTGACTTCACATTTGAGTTGAAAATCCGGATCTTATATTTGATGCTGAGTGCTGTTGACCTCCACACAGACTTGAGAGTAATGAAAGCTTGTCTTGCTTTGATATCCTCGTCAGCTCCGTCCACATGTAGTTGAAACGATGCTTCCCAGGTAGGTAGGTAGGTAGGTAGGTGAAGGAGGTTGTTTCTTTCAGGTTCCTCCCATTTATTCTGGCTGATTGTTATCTGTTGTCTGTTGTTGTTACTGTTGTTGTTGTTGGTATTGGCCAGGAATCTTCATCACCTGGGTCTGTTTTCTCTGTGTTCACTTGAAGGAAGTCCTATCTTCTGTGGAAGCTTGTTCTGCCAATTTGTTGCTTTTGACTTGCATATCTTCCAGTTTGTGGGAAATCAGACATATATACCACATCGGGGAAGTCCAGATCCTGCAAGTTCTTTTTTGTGTGGGTGCATTTTATGTATGTTTCCTCATTTCCCGTTGTCTGTCACATTATCCAGTCTAGAGAGGTGGTCTACGTGTGTCGAGGCCTTATTGTTGTTTGAATTCTCAGTTGACTCGATAAACAGAGGCTCGGTCAGCTGTGAGTCTTCTCCTCTATCCTATCATATCAGGTTTTCAAACTGTCACTTCATGTATGCTATGGCTTAGATGTCTTCATATCTCCAGATTTCGCGGGGTATTTGCATTCCACTTGCCCAAATGGCTGAGACCTACTGCTTTAGTCAATGTATTCGACTTCGTAGTCATTACAGGTTATTAAATAAACTAGATCATTTTGTTTAATATGTTTCACAGGTTCCTTAGGCTGATATAATGTGTTATAAGCTCAAACCGTTCAACACTATAACACTGTGTGATCAAATAACTTTCCTGGTTATTTTATAACTCAAGGAAATGAGAAACACCAACGGAGATGAAAAACTTTTAACAATTTAGACACATAGACATGGTGGGCAATGAAACATCTTAGTTTAACTGGACACTAACTAGTGTCATGCATCTGGGTCTTTATTTCGTGCAGACTGGATTCTATCAGTCAATCAGTTTGCAATGTAGCCACCATCATGGTGCACTCAGAAGTGCTGCTGTTGTTGTTCTTGTTGTTGGAGGCAAGCGGCTGGAAGCTCAGCCTGACTTAGATTTTTTGTCATTTTGGTGTTTGTTGGCACTCACCAACTAGCGCTGGATGTGACACGGGTTGGAATCTCAGAAGAGACATGAGTCCCTTGAAGAGTGCGGATACGCCTTGCTAGCGGGTGAGTGTCAACAAGTATGAGATCTACGTGCAAAGCTTCCTGCCGATTACCACCAACCACCTAGAAACATCTCAGTACTTAACATTTTAGTATAATATATCAATTTTGGGTGTGAATAATATTTTGTTAATAAATGTTTCATAACATGTCATCTCAGTTATGTATATATATATATATATATATATATATATATATATGTATATAGGTTTACACATGTTTTGTCCTGTGTGAATAAAGCTTTGTGAGTAAAAATTCAGTTCACAGTTAGTCACACTGGTTAACAGGGTAACACTAACTCACCACAGTCTAACTTATTATGTAGTGTATGTATTTTACCTATCTGTACACTGAAAATATGCGCAAACCAATCGATAAAAACAATTAGTTTCACTCAATTGTGATAGTCAACTAGCATTAGAATTGTCTACAATGCATACGGATGTTGTTAGTTAAAATTATTCATATAATGTGAAGATCTTCAATCATGCATTAGACTACTGAATAGGTGAGAAACAGTTTTATGAGTAATCATATAATGATATGCGTGTACCATAACAAAACTAGCGGAAACAAATAAATTTTATTTAAATTATTATTTTTTTTCTACAAGTTTGACCACGGATTGATATCAGCTAGAGAACGATTGAAACTCAATACGGAGTACTAGATAACCGTTTCATCCTAGTTCGCGAACCATCGGCAGTACACACCCACTGGGGTTCGAACCCAGGACTTACTGGTTGTTAGAAAAACAACTAAATTAGGTAATTCCATATTAGTCTACTTATTAGATATATCTTAAAGTGAAACAGTATTATTATTTATTTATTATAAATAGAGCACGAAAACTAAGTAGTACCAAGGAAAATGTAAGACGGGAAATGAAGCATACAAGATAAGCTTTGAAACTTAATAATTACCCTGATAAATTAATCAGAAAGTATGTAGGGAAAAGTAAAAATAAAATAAATAATGATAGTAGGGATAGTGATAGTAGTGGTAATAATAATGACGACACCAACAATAAGGAATCTAATTCATCAGTAGTAATTCCATACCAGGAAGGAGCCTCGGAAAGCTTACGCAGAATTCTTAACAATGCTGGCAGGAATAAAACGAGGCTGGAATTCAAACCAACCACAAACTGAATTAGAAACAAGCTTTGTCGGTTAAAAAATCCTGCGTGTGGAGCCTTGAAAGCGAAACAATTTAGTTGATCTAATACCCTCCTGGAATGATTGTCAAGTCAGATACAAAGGTCAAAGTAGTAGAACACGGTCAGTCAGCCAGTCATACCAGCGGAGCACACAAACCGAACAGCAAAATCTAGATTAGTTGACCCGAATAAGATAAGAAATCTAGAGAATAGTTCAGCTATAGTACTCAATGCATTCAATTACACACAACCACACAGCATGATGGGATAAGATGAAAGTTTTAAAATCTAATGTCACAGGGTGGAGGGAGAGATTGATAACGGAAGCTTTGTTTATCGAATCAACTGCGAGAGAGAGGGAGATAGAGAATACGTGTAATAGGGATGATTCGACACATATTTACCCAGATATCTGGAGAATTCTACTGCCCCAACGACGATATATAGGAGTGGGCAAAGAAAACTATGAAACTCAAGTTTCAAAGTCGTGTGATTATAATTGGCAATATGATTATGAACAGCAATAAATTTTGTTCGAAACCTTGTCATCCAGTAAATAATAATACTGTTTCACTCACTGTGTCATATATTTAATAAACAAACTAACATGGAATTACTTACTACCACAGTGCTAAAGTTTTACACATATACTAAACCAGAGAGTTTGGTTCTTGAACATAAAACCGTTCTTAAGTCTGGATATTTTTGACAAATTGGTAGATTTACCGCGTATGGAGATGGAAAAGAAGTCAGCACTCGGTAAACTTTAAAAGAAAACAACAAGCGCGTCTGTCTGCATTTCAAGCTGGTCTTAACATGGAAATATGAATATGGTAATGGTAACAGGTGAATACTCAGTTACCTTCGAACTGATTGGAAACCTTCTATGATCTTTAAATCGCGTGAATCAAACAGATGGATAGTTCTACTACAGACTGGATTCTTCAGTATACATAATTCATGGGTGGAAAAAACAGTTCTCACTGAAATCGCATAACTATATCGGTTAGAAACTCAAGACAACCATTCAAGTTAACAGTTAGCAATGTAATTCAGGATGTGCATTTCGTTCTATTTGGGACTTGTCATCTGAATGCGCCTCCAGCCCCTGTGAATAAATGATGTTATCCCCACTTAGAGTTTGTCCCTGCATTCATCGTTTCAAATTCCAGAGCATTACGCCTTTTTTTTTACTAAACCTTTCTCCCTGAAAGTTTGTTTTGCAAAAGTCGCTTTTTAAACGAATTTGCTTCACAATCCAAAACTCTGGCAGTATACACATTTGGTCTCCTTTTCTGATTCAAGACTACACATTTAAGGAGATGTGTTGCAGCCGAATATGTTTGTTTAAGAGGTCAGGTTGTCAACAGACCAGTTTCATTATGAGTTGACACAAATTTATTGTTCAGTGCTTCATGAACTTTGTTCTGGTAGTTAGGTGTAATGCGTAACGATATCACAGGTCGGGTCATTTAACTCGCAGTAAAATGCTTAGTTTTTTATGCACAGATTTCATTCCTGAATATTGGTATCCAAACATGTCGTTTTCCATGTTCCCAGTCAGCTTGATTTTAGTTCATAGATTGAACACCTCAGTAATTCATTAGTCTGTAACATTTTATCGTGAGTTGGTTGATACTCAATTCATAAAGAAATTAAGTACATTATATTTCTATGAGTTTTTGCGTAAAATATTTTTGTTAACCTTGAGATTTGTTAGGCTGTAGATGAGGGCTACTAACTTACCACTTGCTGACCTTTATGACCTTAACTTCTTGTATGAATACTTAACCTTAGCTAATTAGCGAAATAGTTCTCCTCGTTGACTTCCAATTGATTTATCTTTCCTTAGTCATTTCTATATCGGGCCTGCGTTCACGTGACTTATGATCGTTTCGTCTCTCAAATTTTTTTATATCAGGGTCTCCTTTGCACCTGTTAAGTATTTTTTACTTTCCACATAAGATAAGTTTATTTTAACAGTCACATAGTGATGCAATATTAACAACTGGATGACATAGTTTCGAGCATAAATTATCACTGCTCATAATCGCATCAATTTAGTCTTATACATATTTTTTCCCTATATTCTGTCTCTCCAA